AGCTTGGTTACATTGGCCATCATAGTTAAGGTCTGCCCTACTGCTGGCCACGTAGCTTTATATATCACATGGACACATCATCTATTCGGATTCAGTTTCCTAGTGTGTAATTTTTCTTGTTTGTATAGTTATGAATGTGGTTAAAGTAAGATAAGTATAGGGTATGTGATGGGGAAGGATTATCAAAGGAGGAAGAAAAAAAATAACTTGCTCACCTCCTTCCCACGCAAATATTTTATTTTTGAAATGCTTTTTAGCATATTTAAAAAGTTTATTAAGGGCTTGTCTACAAGGACCACTCAGGAAAATTAATCTGAGCTAACTAAAGGTGTAAATTTAAAGAGGATTCATTAAACTGCAGTAAACCCCTCTGGGGACATTCTTGTTCAGAATTTAAGTGGCCTTAATTCAGTTTAGCATAATTCACTTCTTTCTAAATTTCTGTACCTAGGAAGATATTTGTACCGTGTGCGACTTCAGATGCAATTTTACAACACATCTGGTGGATCCATTCATGATGAGAATTGTGTGTTTGTTTACCCAACATGGTTAAGCCCAGGCTCGTTTAACAAACAAAATGTCTAGAACCTATAGTAGAAAGAAACATAAAAGGAAACCAATAGGGCAACACTGTAAATTATGTCAAGTCTATTCAGCATATGATTAGCCAAGTGATTCAGTACCATTCGCCTCTCCTTGTACAGTGTTTAAGAATCAGCTAGGAAGTAAAGAAGTAGAAATGTCTTCTCTCTCATCCCAGAGAATCTAGCTTTTCAGAAGCATTGTCAATGAGCTAGAAGACACAACTGTAAACAATTCTGCAAAGACTATTATGGTGTTCTCTCTCTCTCTCTCTCTCTCTCTCTCTCTCTCACACACACTCACTCACTCACTCACACTCTCTCTCTCTCTCTCTTTCTCCCTTCCCCTTCCCTCTGCTCCCTCCTCCCTCCCCCCGATGGCAACATAAGAGTCTGGTACCTGTGCCAGAACACCAGCCTCTGCTATTCCTACATCTCCTAAGACAACATCAGTGTAAAATAGATGATCCAGGCCATCCACAAGTATTTCAAGGTACCTTGCAGATGCTGGTATCAGGAAATGTTATTGCAAATGAAAAGACTGCCTATAATTGCTAAGACAGAAGGCACTGTGTATCACACACTTATCACTGATAAGCAATGTGTATCGAAGAGTCGTCATGATATGTGGAAAAATGAGCCTTCACTGGAACTTCTTTCCAAATGAGTAACTGGCATGAACGGATGTGGTTGCCAGCCTTGCTGACAAGAAATTAGCCAAAAGAATAGGACATCTGATTCAGCAAGTACAGGTTGAACCTCCTCAATCCAGGAACTCTCTGGTCTGGCAACATCTGTGGTCCAGCAAGATCACAGATGTTACTGGACCAGAGAGCCCGAGAGTGCAAGCTGGTGAAGAGTCCAATGACAGAGCCTTACCATTGGGATGGGCGAGCCCTGCCCCAAGAGCCCTAGCTGGGTGTTGCTCAGTGAGGTAACTGCAGAGCCCTGACCCAGCATGGAACAGCAGGGCAGCCACAGAACCCTGACCGAGGCAGCAAGAAAGCCATGGCGTTCCGACCAGCTGGGCAGCTACAGGGCCACAACCACGGGAAGCACCAGCCAGCGGGAACAAGCAGGGCCGGGAGGCTGGGGAGTGCCATCCCAGGAAAGCCCCATGCTCTGTAGCAGCAGCACTGGAGCGGAGCCAGCAGGAGGGGAGGGGCAGTGTCCAACCAGTGGCAGGGGACTTCCCCTAATCCAGCAAATTCCCTCATTCAAGACCGGTTAGGTCCCAAGGGTGCTGGACCAGGGAGATCCAGTCTATATCTAGTGATTGAAAATGGCTCATTCTGTCAGCATGGAGTTGGCCATCTCTTGACGTGAGGGGGGAAATGATGACACAGATTGACAGCTGAGGTTGAATTAATTCTGAAATTGGCACTGGAATGATAAGAAATGGGAACAATTGGCATATGTTTACAGATAAGCCTGCGTGCCTTATCTGATAAAATTGCAGCAGTGCCTTGCTGTCTTGAGCCTGGCAAAACTCCTCAAGTGTGCTTCAGTGGGAATACCTGCCAGGAGCTCAGACAGAAAGTAGAGATGATCTTGATTGCATGATATATCCAGCTGACTTTGCAGCCCTACCTTTCCTCACAACACAGAGATATTCAAGCTGTTGCTCAGTATTTGGACAAGGCTTTCAGATTTGTCCAGGTTTCGCCTTGAACTTTATGCTCTAAGCGAGCAGAGAGAATGAAAGTCTGTGGCATCACTGAAATGTGGAAATCCAGAATCACTCAGCAGGAGGGGAGGGGCAGTGTCCAACCGGTGGCAGGGGACTTCCCCTAATCCAGCAAATTCCCTCATTCAAGACCGGTTAGGTCCCAAGGGTGCTGGACCAGGGAGATCCAGTCTATATCTAGTGATTGAAAATGGCTCATTCTGTCAGCATGGAGTTGGCCATCTCTTGACGTGAGGGGGGAAATGATGACACAGATTGACAGCTGAGGTTGAATTAATTCTGAAATTGGCACTGGAATGATAAGAAATGGGAACAATTGGCATATGTTTACAGATAAGCCTGCGTGCCTTATCTGATAAAATTGCAGCAGTGCCTTGCTGTCTTGAGCCTGGCAAAACTCCTCAAGTGTGCTTCAGTGGGAATACCTGCCAGGAGCTCAGACAGAAAGTAGAGATGATCTTGATTGCATGATATATCCAGCTGACTTTGCAGCCCTACCTTTCCTCACAACACAGAGATATTCAAGCTGTTGCTCAGTATTTGGACAAGCCTTTCAGATTTGTCCAGGTTTCGCCTTGAACTTTATGCACTAAGCGAGCAGAGAGAAAGAAAGTCTGTGGCATCACTGAAATGAGGAAATCCAGAATCACCTTCTCCACTTCTCAGCACCGTTCTGAAGGCCGTGGCGTGGGTGTTGGCTGTGAGGTCACACTCAGAAGATGCTGAGAGATGCAAGAGTTCTCATCATGTGCTGAAAATATTTGAAGATTATCTCTGAATATATAAGTTGAAATGATGTCTTAAGGTACAGCTGGAGGATCACAAAAAAAGTTGCTGAAAACTAGTTTGTCAACCTCCTATACATGGAGAAAGAGGCAATAACTGGTCATTTTCTGGCAGAAGCAACTGTGCCCAAGAGTGAGTGAGTTGAGAGTGCAAGAGATGTACACACCAAGGTAGAATCATACTTCTCAGCATCTAAAAGGGGCTGTATCACAGCTGACAATAAGCATTTCTCCAAGGTCTGATTCTTACACATTCAGAAAAACAGAGCTAACAAAACTATCTGCAATAGTGCCATTTAATGACTTCCAGTAATATTGTATACTCTGTTGCTTTGGGGGGCAGCATAATTGTAAATTGGAATGAAGCATGTGCACCATAAGTCTGTTGTCTGTTACTTAAAACAATCTAATTTTCTTGAAAACACCATTTTAGAATCTTAAAACATGGTCTTAAATAGCAGTTTTGAAAAATCATTGTCCTATAGATATATCCTTGGTTCATGTTACTTTTCAATTAGCTATATTCTGACTGCTATAAAATATACCAATAGTTTTGACAAAATTAATAATATAAAAGAATCAAAAAATTAAAAGAACCTTGGTTTATGCCATTATTTTTAGCGGGGGAGGCGGGGTGTTGCTGCATCACTGATTTTAAAACCACCATATAGATACACACAGGCAGACTCAAACATCACTTGAGATAAAGTTAAGCAAACAAAAAGCCATTAAATATTTCTGCAGTGGTTAAAAATTAGGGTTTTGTTTTGCAACTAGATGTTCCATCCCCACAGCCAAAAGTCCCTCAGTGACATCACTGATGGGGTTTTTTTTTATATTATATTTTAAAAGTAACCCCACCATCACCACACACCCCTTCTTACTCATATTTGCTTTTGTCCTTCAAAAATCCCACTTGAACCAATCTTATCCATTTGACCTGTTCCATATTGAGATTTCCAAACTCAAAGAAACACTGGTATCTTTGTTTCAGGAACAGGTGCTGATGTGGGGCAAACATTTCTGGAAGTTGTAAATTATGTATCCATTTAAAAACTAAACCAGTCCACAGGGAGACCAGATTATGCCTTGTATTATAATCATTCCTGTGGTGTTTGTTCTCTTATTAATCTTATCATTCCCATGAAGCCAAACAAAGAAAAGAAAAAGCCCTTTCTGTCACACCACCATGGAAACTCCAGATACTATTGTTTCAGTGAGCAATGAGGTTGAACTACTGAGGCTAACCCCCAGTCCTGCCCCTTTGCTGGGATTCTAAAGACCTGGGGAAGTTCAATGGGAGACTCAGCTAAGATTTTGTTTGTCCTGGGCAGGCATAAAGGCCAGTTGGAGTTGGAGGATCTTAAAGATTACTTAAAGAAACCATTGCTATGTGGCTTTCTCTGTTGAGTTCTCTCCCTTGTTCAGTGGCATACCCTGCCCTTTTTTGGCTAGGTAGTTGACGCAGCTAAATACAGGCATCTGCGTTTTTTCCTGCATCAAAATGTATTTGTAATGATCTAATCTGGCCCAGTCCTTAGAGAGTTGGAGGATAAATAGTACCTCTCCCGTTCTTGCATGGGCTGAGGAGGAGTAAGTAATGTTCTCTGACTTGGAGGCTACAGGAAGTCTCTGTTGGTAGCTGTTTAATAATGACGAGGCCAAAGAACTTGAGGCAAGATTATTCTTTGCATCCTTTCCCATCTCTGTCTCTCGCAGAGGTGCTTTCTGTTTGGAAGGCGAGAGTGGGGTATTACTCCCCCTGTCAGTCAAAGTCTTTGCCACTTGACAGCGTGAGACTCTCATAAGAGCTGGATCACTTACCATCATTAGGGTGAAAATGACCAATTTTACACCACTTTCATAGTTCAGAAAATACAGTACTGCATTGGTCAGTGAGGAGAGTATCAGCTTAATAGCTTTGCTTTTTTATTTGTCTTTCTATAGGTTAATTCAGTCAGAACAGGAGTGGGGAAAAAGTGCATTGTTCCAGTGTCTTGTCCTATGTCAGCCACGTTAACTTCTGGAATTTCGCCATCCATGCCAGTGCCTATGCCAGGTACTACCCTTTCTGGCACAGTAACGCCTTATGTGATGCCTCTTTGTCAAAAT